GCAGCAGCTGCGCAGAAGAAGGATCTCGAGGCGGCTCAAGAGCTGGAGACGAGGGCCATGGAGAGGTTCGTTGCGAAGGGGGAGGGGGGGCAAGGGGTACCCGCTTGTGATCTGTCTGTGTTCATCGGTTGCTTCGGCCAGTGACCACGCACAGGTATCGAGGCAGAGCACAGTGTCTTGCTCCTCTCATTTTGAGACGACACTTCTCACGTGGGGAGTTGTTTCCCTTCATGTTGGCGTTTCGTGGCCACGAACCACCTCTTCGAATGGGGTTCACTGTCGAGTGTGCCAAACGCACCTGCACCACGTTCCTCTCTGGTGCGCGCGCGCGCCCCGGCGGGGGGGCAACCCTTGCCGTCGTTCTTACACCACTTGATTCGACCAACGACTGCCCGCCAGTCCGGCACGGACCGACCGAGGGGGAGGGGGAGGCACTCCGCTTGAACTTGCCCAAGGTCGTTCGAAGATTGACCACGCATTCCGTACGAGACGACAGCAGGGGGGCGGTGGGCGGAGGATGGTCACTAGATCGATTGCCGACCAATAGTCCGAAAGACACCGTTCAGCGCTCCTGTTCCTGCGAAGAGCCCAGCTCAAGCCTGGGGAATTTTTTGCCTGGTTGTCATGTATCTTGGAAGCGTTTGCCTCAAAACGTCAATACACACTTGGGCGGGCGGGTGGGGGTCCTTCAACGAGTGACTCCACCCAGGGGTGTTCCTGAGGACGCTTGAGATTTGGCGTTTGAGGAATGTTTTTTTGCGCTTCTCAGATGAAATCGTGCGTGTAGTGGCAGTGAGGAGAGGGGTCGTTCCAAGACGGCGGTAGAGTGATGGCGACGGCGTTCAGTCGTCAAGCGTGGCACTGACGACGTTCGTTTGGGGGGTTTGTGTACTTCAGGAAAATAGCCACCCCTTTGATGACGCGCTTCAGAGAGCAACGATCATAGAGATTCCTCCTCCCCATCCTTCTGCCCGTCGGCCCATCTGTTTGCCTGGTTGTCTGCTTTTCTGCCTCTCTCCCCCCGCCCCCGCCCCCCAAACCGCGGACGACCTTCCCCCTCCCCCTGTGTGTCCCAACTTTCTGTCTGGCATAGAACGGAGGACTGTGGCCGTACGTGACAATTTGAATGCCCTGCCTTCTACACCAAGCCTTGCCACCGCCAGCGTGTGTTCGTGAGTTGTTGTTCGTGTGTAGGCCTGACGACCTACCGTCGTATTTTGTTTTTCCGTCGTTAAACCGGGAAAAATAAAAACGTTCTCACGATAAACGCCTACAGGT